CAGGAGGAGTCAGCGCTGGAGGCGGAGCGACGCTGCGCTCTGATCGATCTGAATTTGCGCCTGGTGCAGTGCATCTATGCGCATAAATTGAGCGCCGCCGGCTATACGAATCGCACATTTACATTGAACGGCGCCTGCCGCATCTTTTACTCGCAGTTGAGCTGCGCAACGGCGCGTGCCTGCAGCGAGGACGAGCTCTGGCAGCGCTTTGCCAGCGAGATACTCGCCTGCCCGGACTGGGGCCAGCAGCTGCAGCTGAAATTTGTCGCCTTTGTGGGCTGCACACGCTACAACGGCGCCGCGGTTGCGGCCAGCGGTGACTACTCCTACGCCAATATACGACGGCATCTGGAGGCGCACGCAGCGTTGGGCGGCGGCGGCTTGGCACTCTTTGGCAGCGGTCACTTTTATGCCTGGCCGCAACGGTTTTCCGAAATAGGCGACTGTATACGCAGCACGGAGCGCGTGGACGTGACCAGATTGCCGGACGAGAGCAACTATCGACGCACCTACGGCGGCGTCTATGCGAGCACCCTGGGCGCCGTTTGCCACGAGCTGGGCCATTGTTTCGATCTGGGCCACACCCAGGAGGGTGTCATGGGCCAGGGCTTTGACTATTTGAATCGCGTGCTCACCGTTGATCAGCCCACGGAGCATTTGCCGCAGCGCATTGTGTCCACGAGCACCGAGGCCGCCACATCTCTGGTGCGTCCACGTTTTACACAGCTGAAGCTGATGCAGCCGACGAGCAGCCAATTTCTGGACAACTATCACGCGCAGCGACGCAACGATAGCTTCTACTTTGCCCACAACTGCGCCGTCATTCTTGCCCAGCATCGCTGGCTGCGTGCCGGCCTGCAGGCGGCCAGCTTGGAGCAGCAGCCGCCGGTCCAGATTCAATTGCTGCCAGCCAGCGCCGAGATTGTCTCCAGCGTGCCATTGCGCCTTGTCGAGCTGCGCTGCAATCTCAACAGCCTGGTTGCCCACTACGAGGAGTTCGAGCAGGAGACGCATCGCTTCCAGCTGCCCGCGTCCCTCTGGCATCTGCTAGCCACACAGCGCACTCACTACGCCTTCGTCCTGACCATTGACGGCGACACCAAGCGCCTAGCCTTGGACTCAACAGCGCAGACCAAGCCAAGCAAGTAGCGACAATTCGGGTGAGTTGTAGAGCTATAATACTGACTGACTGATTGACATACTGACTGATTGACGGACTGACTGATTGACGGACTGACTGATTGACGGACGTACCAAAGATCAAAGCCACCATCAACTAGGCATCTGACCATCTTACTCTAATTACCTCATACACTTATACACTTTTGGGAACTTCCACTTGCAACTGTGGAAAATTGGTGGAAAACGATTGCATACAACTCTTTTCGCTTACCATTCCATCTGCTTTAAACTCTTTCTCGCAGATCTTTGTGTAAATTTACTAGAGACTTATTTCATGCTTTTCAGAAAACTCACACTGGGCTTCACCCCTTAAATAAATGGGATTTTGGTAAATCCACTTCGTAGGGTGAAAATGACACTTTTATATGAAGTTATGAAATTCTCATCTTCCACAATTATTTGATTGTTAAACAAATTTCTATTAGTTTTCCCGACTATTTTGTGTTTCCAGCTGTAATCTATTCTATGATTCATGATTACGGTATGTGGCTTGTAAATTAATTGCTGATTGCAGTAAAAATGTTGGCTGACAGTTTGATAGATGAGCACAGGGCGAAAATGATAAATGTTAAATGAGACAAAATTGCGCACAGTTATTTAAGAATTCAAATTTTTGAATAGTTCCATATCAAGAATTTTATTTTTGCTCTATAAAGCAGGTATTTTAGGAACTGGGTACTCTTAGCTTATTTGAACTTATTTATGAATCAGAGAAAAACTATATGATATATCTATTGGAATAGCATAAAATATATATATCTATTGGATCTGGAAACTTATATACTATTTAAATTGAATTATGAAATACTAAGGGAAAACTATATGTTGGAGTAGTATAAAATATATAATTATGCATCATGATTTATATATATATATATATATATATATATATATGTGTGTGTGTGTGTGTAAGTGTATGCAAGCATTTATGATTATATGTATGCGTGTATGTGTGTTTTCCACTACCAAACGCAGCCCTAGCTTATTTTTGCGCTGTGCTGCAAATTTAAATAAAACGAATTTTGACCAAGTGCTCTACTCCTCGATTCTCAAAAATGCAAGTAGGCTCTGCAGTTTTTCATGCTTAGCTAGTAGTGAAGTGTTTTTTTTTTTTTTTTTTGGTATTTTTGTTGTTGTTGTTTTTTGGTTGCTGTTTTTTTTTTGTATGTATGTATGTATGTATATATATGTACGTAAGTATGTACGTATTTATGTACGTATGTATGTACGTATATATGTATATATGTACGTACGTATGTATGTACGTGTGTATGTATGTACGCATGTATGTACGTATGTATGTATATATGTATGTATATGTGTACGTACGTATGTATGTACGTATGTATGTACGTATGTATGTACGTATGTATGTACGTATATATGTACGTACGTATGTATGTACGTATGTATGTACGTATGTATGTACGTATGTATGTATATGTGTACGTACGTATGTATGTACGTATGTATGTACGTATGTATGTACGTATGTATGTACGTATATATGTACGTACGTATGTATGTACGTATGTATGTACGTATGTATGTATGTACGTATGTATGTACGTATGTATGTATATGTGTACGTACGTATGTATGTACGTATGTATGTACGTATGTATGTACGTATGTATGTATATGTGTACGTACGTATGTATGTATATACGTATGTATGTACGTATGTATGTACGTATGTATGTACGTATATATGTACGTATGTATGTACGTATGTATGTACGTATGTATGTACGTATGTATGTACGTATATATGTACGTACGTATGTATGTACGTATGTATGTACGTATGTATGTATATGTGTACGTACGTATGTATGTACGTATGTATGTACGTATGTATGTACGTATGTATGTACGTATATATGTACGTACGTATGTATGTACGTATGTATGTACGTATGTATGTATATGTGTACGTACGTATGTATGTACGTATGTATGTACGTATGTATGTACGTATGTATGTACGTATGTATGTATATGTGTACGTACGTATGTATGTATATACGTATGTATGTACGTACGTATGTATATACGTACGTATGCATGAATGTATGTATGTGTGTGTGTATGTATGTACGTATGTATGTATGAACGTGTGTATGTACATCTATATGTATGCATGTGTACATGTACATATATAAGTATTCGGGCATGTATTCATACATGTACGCATGTACAAACATACATACATTTATATGCAAATTTCATCCGATTTTCACGAGGTTTGGCTCTTTGTTCATGGTTTGTTCTCTAGATCAACTTAGCAACAATATATTTTACGATCATTCATAAGTACAGACCAAAGATATTATAAGCAATATTTATTTTGTCTCGGGGCAGACACAAGCCAGCACTTTTTAAGAGCGTCAATTAACCATATTTTTATATTATATGTTGATCAGAAATAAGCATTTAAAGATCCCAATCCAGACTATACGAATACATTCCCTGAAAAGGTTTCGTTATCGTGGAACAGATACATTCGTAATTGGTGTGACGAAACGCTTCGGGAAGCCCATCAAGATATTAGAGGGGAAAAAAAAACACGGTCCTGCCTCAATGATAGCACAGGCTAATTACATTGTGAATCATGCTGGGACATGAATGTGCCATATAATGGCCATCAACCGCTTTTGGATGATTCATGTGCGAAGTTCTTGAGCCAACAAGTGCTGCATGGCTTATCAACACTGACTGTCGAACCGTCAAACTGTCGAACTGCTGTCGAGCTGTATCAGAGTTCGATTAGAGCACGCGATTTGGAGCCAACTAGATACAGACACACACACACACACACACTGTTGACTATTGACTGAGAGGGAGACACTGTAATAATCGGAGACTGGTTTTGTTGGTTAACCCAAACTGAACCTGAGCCAAGCTGCCAGCCTCGAGAGAGTCTGGGAGAGACTCTCAAGACTCTCGCATCGATCGTTGTCTATGTCAAATGGGTTAAGCTTGGCTACGTTGTCAGCATGGCTGCACAGTGGGGCAAACAAGCGCTTGTATTATCAAAATATTAAAAAAAAACTTAACTTAGCCTGTCTACATACTCTTACCGGTTATATACCTTTTCCAACCGATTTGTTTCTGTTTGATATATATATATATATATATACAGTAGTCCGATGTCAACAAAGACCGATCAGCTATATGATAAGTAGAATTGAACATTTAAGCGAAAAGAAACACGCGACTGATCAAGAATAGGCATATATATAAGCTATGGCTCGCACATCTGTGCGATATACCCACAATGATGTCATATTAGATTGGGATTAACGTGACTCACGGTCGATTCAAGTATGTTAATCATATAGCTTAAGCAAAGTGATTAAGTCAATAATTTTTTAATTGCTGCAGAGAACTACAAAAACGAGGTACTTAGAGCTAAATATATGTAGGTACAGTTTTGTTGTCTTGTTGCCGTGCATTTGTCACACTGTGCAGCCGCGTTTGCTGACGCGTTGTTTGAAATGAAAAGGCAAAAAAAAAAAAACAAATCAACTCGTCTTACTGTGACTTTAACGTATTTGCCGTGCTTTATTTCAATTAATTTAACTATATTTTTTTGTTGTCGTTGTTTTTGCTGTTAAGATGGGCGAAACACGGCCGCCGCGCTGGCAGTTCGATAATGAAAATACTTTGATAGAAACAAGAAACAGAGACAACTACAAAAAAAAAAAAAAAAAAAACAGCACAATATTTGGCAAAAGGCGCTGATAAGATAAACAAATATTACAACAAAATCTATTGCCAAAGGCAAGAGACGCGAGAAACCTCAACACAAGCTATTGAAAGTGCGCCGCCAGCTTTTGCTTTCATTCATATTTCAGAGCTCGAAAGGCCCGGAACAACAGCTCGAAGATCTAGCCCTACAAGTTAATAATAGAACAATAATAATTATAATAATAGTAATAATAATAATAATAATAATAATAATACGTGATAATCATGGTGGATGCGCGCATACAGTTCAAAGCCTTGAAAGGCTTTCCCAATGCCGCCGACAAAATCGAGACTCAAACATTTTTGAATGCGGCCAAGGAAATTGTCACAGTCATCGGTAAGTTTAGAACAGATCGATCACTCTAACTGTTTAAATATCTTCATATATATATATACTTATTATCTAAATGCCCACAGAAACATTTGGTAAGCTCTTTACGCCCGTCATCAGCGATATGAATGGCAATATAAATGTAAGTACGAAATGATTGTATATTTTGCTATTTTCTCTAATGTATAATGTTCAAGTCAGCCCGAATAACCAAACGAATAAGTGAATATAAAAATAATTGAATTTGAACCGTCGGCCTTCCGCTAGCCAGTCCGACGTAAAGCACACTTTCAAATAATATTATTGTTTTTGTTTTAATTCTTTGATATATAAAATATTCAAATCAGATCGAATTAAAACAAATTAATTGAATATACAAAAATTGAATTTGAACCGTCGACCTTCCGCTAGCCAGTCCGACGTAAAGCTTACTTTAAAAAAATATTTATGCTTTTGATTTAATACTTTGATATATAAAATATTCAAATCAGATCGAATTAAAGCAAATTAAATAAGTGAATAAAAATTGAATTTGAACCGGCGACCACCCGCTAGCCAGTCCAACGTAACGCCCACATTTAACACGAAACTCTTTTATATATGCATACAATTTAATTTTGTTTTTATCATATTTGTTCTTTCCATGCACAGAAACTAACCAAGGTGTACGGCACGGATGTGCTGAAATATCAGTATCTGGAGGACATGATTGTGTTGAACGTGAACGTGGATGATTTTGCGGCAAATGCGCTGCTCTGGCTAAAGCGTGGACTCCAACTGATCTGCACCTTCTTCGAGAACATCTACAATGATGCACAGAAAGCGGAGCCGCTCAAGCCGCATCTGCAAGATGCCTACGAGCGCACCCTGAAGCCCTACCATGGCTTCATAGTGCAGAGCACCATCAAGGTAATGTGGCCGCAGAGACCAAGAGAGAGAGAGACAGAGAGAGAGAGTTGACTTTAATATGCCACAATTGCATTTACAGATCATCTACAGCTGGGTGCCCACGCGCAGCCAGCTGCTCGGCCAGGGTGCTGCACAGCTGGAGAATATCGAGGTGCTGACCAGCTATTTGCCCGCAATGCGTTCGCAACTGGATCGCATCGATGCGCTGCTGAAGGCCCACAATTTGGACGATGCGCGCAAGGTGTGATCAGATGAGTTGGTGCTGCCAAGCCTTTCGCCCGCTTCCTTTAGCCTTAGTGTAGCCTATTTAGTATGGATATATGCTATGATATATAATGTTTAAGTTCTAATTTCAAATGCCACATAAACTTTAATATGCACCTAGACGTGACTCAGGCCGGTTTTGCGACTCCCTTTTGGCGCTGGCCAGGCGCCAGACATGGTGTAGAAGCGCCGATAGCACCTCCAGTGCCATCAGCACGAATTGCACATTCGTCAGGAATGCCAGCCAACGGCTGGCGAAGACAACAGCCAAACGCAAATAGACCAGTGCCGGCAGCAGCACACAGGGAGTCAGCGTCAGCAGCAGCCACATGGTCGTCGCATCCGTGCACAGATTGATCGAGTAGCTGGCATGGAGGCGCATCCACTCAGTGCCCACTGCCAGCACATAGGCCAGCAGCATGGCCAGGCCCGTATAGTTCCACAGCATATGCGACTACAAGAAAGTAACCTTTTTTAATATACCAGCTATGCAGCGCATTCTGTCGGAGACTCACCCAAATGATCAGGTGTAGCAAGTAGCTGATAGCCCAGATGATCGTCACATAGACATTGGCCTGCAGCAGCATTTGCAGCAATAAATTAGCATGTTGCCACATTACTAAATATAATTATATATATATATATATATATTATGTACACTTTAGTTAGCAACATAGACTCACATGGCAGTCCATTCTGGTAGTAGTTGCTGCTGCTCCTAATCTCCGTGTCCGTTTCCATACTTAGTCAGCACAGTGGTTAAACTAACGAATGGTGTTTTGAACCGTTTTTTGTTTTTTTTTTTTGCCCTGGTTGCCAGGACAACAATGTGCAATGTTTATATATAAGCTGTTTCATCCCTTTTGTAGAGTTAAGCGGCTTCTAGAAATTCAAAAGTTAACCGCCAATGTGTGGCCATCTGGCAGCACTAAAAATATCCTTAAGCAAAACACTTTGGCAATTTATCGACTTATCGATTTGGCGTTGCCACAATTATATTTTAACAGTAAATAATAAAAGAAACAAATCAGTGTTGGCAGTTCCAAAAAACTAGCTAAATCCAATGTTAAAAATAGCTAAAATCAAAAGAAAGCTAAGTCGGTAACAATTTTCAGCTTTTTTCGGCTGACATGCTTTGAAAACTTGTACTTAACAATTAAAACGCATTGCTTTAAGCTAAAAACATTTGAATTTAGTTAAAACTTTGTTATGCTATATATACATTATTTTCATTAGACATATTTAACAATTTGTGAGATTTAAAAAACATTTTTAGATGAAGATTACGTATAATTAACTACATCTACGCTGTTCAACAGGGCAGGCTCGAATTGATGGCCACTTCCAGGGAATTTACTGCAAATAGACAGAGACAGCAAAACGGCCACAACGAAAGCGTGTGAGAGAGAGAGAGAGAGAGAGAGGAAGAGCGAAAGGGAGAGAGTGATTAGTTTGCGGATTTTTCGATAGATAGAATAAGACTTACAGAACTTATAATCGTGCTTGTAGACCAGAGCCGTGAGTATGCTGCCCAACATTTGATGGCAGCGTATATAGGTGCCCTCGATTTCACCCACCTGGTTGAGCGCCAGATATTCCATGGCCTTGGTACACTCATTGATATCCGAATGGGAATTGGTTGTCTTCTCCAGGCTTAGATCATCGTATTCAAAGCTCAAGTCCAGACTGAGCGCGTGGGATGCATTTAGATAGTTGCCGCAGCTATTCCATTCCATGTCGAGCACAAATACCAGATGGAATATCTGCTCCAGCGCCGTGCAAAACTCCTCAAAGTCTTCGGTCAGCAGACAATGATTGGCCAAGCACATCAGATACTCGTGATGCAATTTGGCCAGTTCACGTATGGTGCCAATTTTCTTTAGCTGCTCATCGAACTGCCCTCCAATGGCCTGCATGACATGGGTGCAGAGATGTGTGTGCAGGCTGTTGATTAAATAGATCAGCCAGAAACGTAACATTTCCAGACGGCGCACCGTTAGACCCAGCAGATCAAGCGGCCCGTATACATCTTTGGGTTCACGGCGTATGAAATGCATATTCTCCAGCTTCCAGGCGGCCCACTTGACCTTCAGCATGAGACGCCAAATGTTATTGTAGTATGCCATATGTTTCTCGGTTATGATGCGGGATAGAGCCGGTGGCATTATATATACCATGCCAATGGCATCCAGTGCCTCGTACACCTTGCTGGACTGTGAGTGCGATTGTGAGATTAGCTCCACATACAGCTCGCAGGCCATGCTCGGATAGTGTGCGTCGAGAATGTCGTAAAGCTCCGTGGTTAGCTGCGATGAACGCGCCCACCTCTGGCCGGATTCGATTTGGCGAAAGAGGCTAGTATAGAATGGATACATCAGATAGTCGGCCTCCAACATGAGTATGTGGCGCAAAAAGCGCACATGATCGCCCAGCTGCAGCTCCTCGCGATACCAGCGCATCACATACACATTGGCCAAATCGCAGCGCTGCCGAAGCACACGGCCCAATGCGCGGGGCAGCAATTGCGGCAGCTTCAGCGTGGTGCACTGCTCGAGTGCTTCAATAATATCGAGCAGCTGCACCGGCGGCGTGGTCTGCTCCATGTGAATTTGTTGGTCATGGGCACGTCTAATGTGCTGTGTGAATAGACCCATAATCTCGGTGTTGCCCAGCTTGCCGGTGTTTTTAAGCAGCTGTTCGTCGTGTTGCTTCAGTTCCAGACGTGCCAGCTCCTGGACGCTGGCACGCCGTCGACCCACTGGATGTACGCCGCTGTTGCCGAAGCTCTGGAGCTCGTTGAAGAGCTGCTTGGTCAGATCCGAGTGCAGTGGGCCCAGCTGTTGACTGGTATTAACCAAGTCGCCCAGCAGGCCAATGCTGGCCAGCAGATCCTGCGTCTCACCGGACTCCAGGGCATACGTTATGAGCAGCTTATAGAAGGCACAGCCTTGCAGCTCGTCGAGAATCGCTTGATGCGACGCATCAGCGTCTGGTGGCAGACAACGCTCGCGTATGCCTTGGCCAGCGGCCACCCAATCTTCTCGACAGAATTCCACAATATACTCGTCGCAACAGTCAGCCAGCTGGGCGTGGCGCCACCAATTGTCACTGATATCGCAGTAGCGCTTCAGTGTGATTAGCAGCAGCGCTGTGGCCATCTTCTGGTGCGGCACATGCACCCTGGTGTGCTTGTAGAGCTGTGTCAGCAGATAGGCGCTTCGCAAATGCGCCGGCGCCTGGACAACGGCATCAGATGCCAGCAATTGAAGCTGCTGCAGCTGCTGAAACTCGTCGTTCATGTGCCGTATAAAGTATATTAGTGTTAGGTTCGACTCCGGCTTGCCAGCGGCCTTGTCCAGCAATCGCCGCTCAAAGGCCAACAAACGCTGAACGATGGGCTGTATCAGATCGCGCAGGCCGACGGCAAAGCACTCCAGGGTGCCAGTGCTGGGCACATAGCTGGTGGGCAGTGTTAGCTCCTTGATCAGTTGACGCAGCTGGTGCATGGCCCGCATGGCCGGCAGCACCTCGTCCTCCAGTGTAATCTTGAGTATGCCCTAAGTATAGAATAGATATAAAATACGAACTACCTGAGCAAAACACAACTCACACTGCTGACGCTACAGATGGATACATTCGGGCGCACCTTGATCTGCATCTGCGTTCGCTGCTCCGGCTGCACCTCGAAAAAGCAACAGTTGGCCGGCTCGAAGAACATGAAGATTATCTCGCGTAGCAGGCAGGTCTCGGTGACGGTATTGGGCAACGAATGCCTGAGCAGGCCGCGCACATGTCTATTCAAATGCTGGACATGGGCAATGGCAAAGTTGGCGCACGCGTCGTTTGTCGGGGTCAGTGTGTGAATCTTAATGTCCTGGCGCCACCAATGTGCATGGATCGTTCTGGCCAAATGGTTGGCATCAAATATGCTATATATGTACGGCATCTGCTTTTGCGGTGGCTGCAGCGCCGGCAGCTTTGGCAGCGTACACCAATTGGGCCGCGTTTGGATGCCGCTGAACGATATGGACATCGGTTGCGTTATGCGAAAGACTTTCCTTGGCCGTCCGGCTGTGGGCTGCGGCAGTGGCACAAACGTGTTGGTGCCGCTTGGATAATTTTGGCTTTTGGCATACACCTCGGCCATGTTCTTCTGATCCAAGCTCGTCTTGGAATCCTGCGGCTCTTCGTATTGTGAGCTCTCCTCGCTGCTAGTCTCATCGGTCCAATCCTGCAAGTGCATAGAGAAGAAATCAATCAAACCGGAGTTCAATCTGTAAAAGCTGTAAAGAAATTCCCCCAAGTGATAAACGACGCGTTCAGACAGACGGACATGGGTAGTTCGACTTAGCTCGTCGCCCTCTATGTGGTCGGAAATGCTCCCTTTCCCTTTGGAGGAAAAGGGATTTTAAGATATGGAGGGTAAACAATAGTATTTGCCAACGCTTCCCAGTCGTGACTGGTTAAGTGATAATAGATGTCCTTTTGGAGCACCTACGCTTAGGCTGCTGTCACTGCCGTAGCTTTCGCTGGGTAGTGTTATAAAGTCCTTGCTTAGTAGTGCCACCCAATCGATGTTCGTTTCTGCAAGGTTGGGTTGTGGCAGCTCTTCGGCTTCATCGGTATCTGGCGCCGTTTTGAGGGCATCTTTAATGGCCAACAGACGCTCATGCATACGGTTTCTGTTGCGTCGCATCGTCTGGATGGGCTCGTGTGTCATGTGGAGCAAGAAATCGAGCAGAGAATATTGCACATCCACCTCGTAATGCTCCCTCCACGACTCATGATTCATTATCAGCGTGCTCAGGTGACGCACAGCCTCCGCCTGGTTCAGCATACCCTCATAGTGAAACCGCTCGACCATGTTGTCGATGGAGCGGCGCACCTGATGGCTGTTGGTGCTCAGGAAGCGATGGTTGCGTATCTTGTGCACTGCGTATTGCATCAGCGAGCGTCTCTCCGATGTGGTGAACTGGCAAAAACGAAAGGCAAACGCATTAATAGCCGGAAACTAATTATGTTTATTGGACTTACGCCGGCACCAGCTAAGCACTTCACCAGCTTTTCCACATTCTGCAGAACAGCCTCGTTGCGTGGATCTTCAGACATTCTTTATACTG